CTATCATATATATATAATAGTACACTTTAGAAGTTTCAGGTAGGTACCCACGAATAATATTATATAATCACAACAAAATAACTAGGTTTTTTAATATGTAATTTCGTCCAAATTTGAACATAAAATGACTATAAAAATAAACTGTGATTGTATATTTTTTAGATTTTTCGGTAAGAGAATTAACTACTTACGTGGAATCTTGTTTTAAATTTTCAATCCTTAGCTATAAAAACTGAACATTTTATAATTTATTAATTACGATGATTAATAATTTTCGAGATTTTGAAAAATTCTATCAAAATTCGATGTTAAAATGCTTATAAAAAAAAATTGTGCCTATGTATTTTTAATATTTTTCAACTGATATTGTAACAATATATCAGGAGCCTTGTATTAAATTTTTACACTTTTTGGCCCAACAGATAAAACTTAATTGATATTTATAGAAAAAAAAAACTAAAAAAATTGAAAACTGAAAATGTCCGTAAACGGCTCAAAAAGTGTCAAAATATTTTCAAAATTGTAGGGTGTATAGGAAATGCTAATATAAACATTCAGTGAAATTTTCATGTATCTACAGTAATTCGTTTTTTAATTACAACAAAAAAAGGAAATTGCCACATGAGAAATCGAGTGAATATCCAATGTTGTAAAAATTTGAATTTCAAACGCTCATAAAAATTTAATTTGACTTTCCGGTAGAAATTTTTTTATTGATAAAGGTAGACAATCTTATGAGTAATCTTGTATTAGATTTTCAAATCTTAGATTTAAAAAGAAAAATTTTTACGAATTCTTAACTCAAAATAATTTGCTAATTTTCGTGATTTTTCCATATTTTGTCAATTTTTGAACTTTAAATGCTTATAAAAAAAAATTGTGACTAAGGATTTTTAATATTTTTCATCTGCCTTTGAAACAACATATTAGGAGCCTTCTATTAAATTTTCAAGCTTTCGCAACCAACAAATAAAATTTTATTGATATTTTTAGAAAAAAAAACTAAAAAAAATGGAAAATGAAAATGTCCCTAAACAGTTCAAAATAAATCAAAATATTTTGAAAATGTTATCGTGTATAGAAAATGCAAATATAAACAACCAGTGAAAATTTCATGTATCTACGGTCATTTGTTTTAAAGTTAAACCAAAAACCAGAATCGATTTTTTGGAAAACCGATTTTGCGTAAAAATTCCCGTTTTTCCTTAATTTTTATGTTGTTTTTCCCGGCGCTCTTGAAAACTACTGGGAAATTTAAATTTTGACCTCCCCAATGCACCAACGATATTCACTTTCCAATCGAACAAGATACTGAAGTCGAAAATCGAAGCATTATTTCGACTACTTATCGTGTACACAGACACAAAAAAATAAATATAAAAATAAAAAAATAAAAAAATAAAAAAAAAAACACACATCATTGTAAAATCAATACATTCATCGTTTCACTCAGAATCTAAAATAAAATTAGGTATTGATTTATATTTGCCAATGGCCGATTTATGTTCAATGGCTGTACAGAACGCAGTTCGTCTACAGTAAATAGCGTTTCCGAATCAGTGAATACTGTCAACGTACGATGATCAATTTCTCGATTTCCCAAGTACAATAAAACTGGAATTATACAAATAAGAAGTTTGAGGTAATTTTTCAAACTGGTTTTAGGTATATCATAATATTATCATTAATATCAATAGTGAAACTAATATTTTATATCACATCAAAGCATTCGATAATGGGAAATAACTGAATGTATAACCAACGTCTAAATTATAATATTAGGTAGGTATTATATTAGAATTACATATTATAGTATTATTTATTATAATTTATAATATTAAATAATATGCATTTTAGTTATTGTACCTATATTATAAACCATCAATTCATTTTTTATGTAATAAACTCAATACAAGTGGTTAAGTATATATTGGGAAAATTTTGTGACATGCAGGTGGTATATTTAATTTTGTAATTTTTAATCTATTTTTTTCTTTTTTACCATGTTCCTGTTATCTGTAAGTAATTATATTATTCGAACTCCTGGGCCCCCACACGAGTTTTCTCAGTGGGGCCCAGTATTTCATATACCGGGTGATTCTTTTATCAAACAACACTCATTATTTCAAAAAGTGTAAATTTTTTTGAAGATATTTGTTTACATAGTTTCAAGTCGCTTATAAAACAACGTTTTTATTAAAAAATTAAATTTTTAATTATTTTTTATCCTTATAATTTTTTAAGTTTTTTACTTTTTTGAATGACAACATAGGGTTTTAATTTTATATTCTAAAGTAGAATATTTTTCTTAGTATTTTGATACATGAAAATTGAATGTGGGGCGAGTAGTTTATTAGTTATAAGTATTTAAAGTTTAGACGAGCGGTGAAGTGGACAAAATTTCGCGAGGTAACCCCGAACCACTACACTCCGCTCGTCTAAACTTTAAATACTTATAACTCATAAACTACTCGCCCCACATTCAATTTTCATGTATCAAAATACTAAGAAAAATATTCTACTTTAGAATATAAAATTAAAACCCTATGTTGTCATTCAAAAAAGTAAAAAACTTAAAAAATTATAAGGATAAAAAATAATTAAAAATTTAATTTTTTAATAAAAACGTTGTTTTATAAGCGACTTGAAACTATGTAAAAAAATATCTTCAAAAAAATTTACACTTTTTGAAATAATGAGTGTTGTTTGATAAAAGAATCACACAGTATATTATATGAAATTAAAATAAAAATAAAAAAAAAAAAAAAAATTGTATTAAGAATATTCATTTAGGCATGGGCCATGGGTTTAAAGCATAGATGGGCTATAGTGGTTAAAGGTACATAAATCCTAAAGTAAAAATAATAAAATTCAGGATATTCAGGAGGTTCAATCGTCATAAATCATAATATAATCTATGCAAGTAAATAGAATATAGAATAATTATAGTATCGTAATTTTATTGTATTTATAATTATCATTATTATTATTATTATTTTACAAGTATGTACTGTGTATATAATATGAAGACATGCTGAAGTACCATGTACCCACCTATAAAAAACAAGTTGCAGCAACGAATCAAAGTCCTAACCTATTTTATATAGCCCGAGTGTACAAAATATAGGCGGTTTTTTTTAAATTCTTTTAATGTCCTAAAAATAAGTAAAAGTCGTTCTCATTTTGATAAAAGGCCATTTAAATTTAGAGGGCTTTGAAGTTTGAGTCTAACCTTAACCTTAACTATGGAGTAGCTACCTATAATATATTGAACTAGGTATATCAAATTTATACGTAGTATGCACCTATTCAGGGGCGGATCTGAAGCTTGGTAAAAGGGGGGGCGAATTTCGAATAGGAATATCCATGAGTAATATACAAGTACGATGAGTATGGTCAAACCTGGTGGGTGGAGGGGGTCACCACCCCCAGAAATCCGTATATCAATCCGGATCAAATTGTATAATCCGTATACTATAAAATTATCAGTATACATTTTTTCAACCCCTCCCCCTACCAAGAAAAAGCATTTCCTGCTGTTGCCCCGGCAATGAAGACTTGACCGTAGTTCAAGTAATTTATGGAAAAAGAAGTACAACACTTAAAATTAATTGTAGGTACCTTTATTTGTTTTAAATAGCTATAACAATATATTGTTCAAAAATAGGTATAATTATAATCACCAAACAGTACCAAATAGGATTTACTAATTACAAATATTTAATATTATAATCATAAAAGTGAGAAAAATAATCACACTATCACAGATAATTGTCATTGTCTGATAACGTTGTTATCATTGTTATCATGAAACATAAAGAGAAAAAAAAATAATAATTAATAATTATTAATTTATAAAAATGTATTGTGTAATGTGTAAATCTATAAATCGAAAATATTAAATAAATCTGTAATAAAAAAAAAGCCCAAGGGGGGGGGGGGGGGGGGTGATCGCCACGTCGCCCCCCCCCCCCATAGATCCGCCACTGCACCTATTATAATATGTAATTATGTAAATATGTTTACCACTCCATCGTTGTATACGACCCTATACAACGTTAGGTAATAACGAAAGTTAAAAGTTAATTTTTTTTTAATTGTGTTACCTTTAACTTTTAAGATATAATAATAGATATAAATCACTATGATTGCTAGTTATTTTGCTGCACACAATATAACAAAATGTATTATATTTATTCTAAAGTAACAAAATGTACATTATAGGGGTCGCTCGTGCCTCGTAGAAAGTCGTGTAGTCCGTCAACACCCGCGTGTGTGTGTTTAGTAGCAACTGGCAGCAGTTGTTGTAGACCACCGTCGCGTCGTTGATATAATTACACTTTTTGCACATACGATACCTAATATTATTATAATACAATTATTGTTTTATTATTATTATTATTATTATTAGGATGCATAGCACAGCGATCGCGAGCGAATAGCACACAGCTTGTGACCTTTGTCGTCATCGTTATTATTACTATTATTATTATTATTCGTAGTACCTATGTAATATTATGTTGATAATATTATGACGTTATTAATATTTACTAATACGACAATAATATTGCGGACAGCGAAATATTAAAGTTTGTAAACAACGCATATTACCCATCAGTACCTACGACTACAACCACGCTCTCCGTCGTTGGCTGACCGACCGCAGTCAACTTGTGCATTATATTATCGTATTTTGTAAGATACTTTAATATAATATGCTAAAATACAATAATTATTTATTTATAATATATTTTTTCGATTAAGTTTTTTTACCATTGACTCAGAAAATAAATCGACCTAAATCGCGACGGCACCGTGAAGTATACAATAATTGACAATGTTACAATATTAAATAATATATTATTATGTTATAAAAATTATAATTTAGTTTAGGTGTAATCGACTTCGAATCAGATTAATTCCGATCCGGTTCATAGCAACAGCTTTCGACGAAATTGCGCAGTGCCCTATTATAATATTATATTCCTTCTCCGCGAGAAATGTCATTTAGACACGAATCGCCACCGTTGTGGAGTCACGTCATCGTATGTCTCTTATGTACCTGCAATTTCTCCAGTGAGTATTATATTACATATTTAATTATTATGCAATGGAAAAAACCAAAACTAATATATAATATTGTGCTCAGCATCGATTGACTTTCAAAATAAGGTGGGAAAGTGGATTCCGCTCTGTTTTTGGTACATATTAAAATTTATAATATGTCGTGTGCTCTTGTTGGGCACTGTAATGGGTGTGTTTAATTTGAATTCAATGATAAATTTTTGCATACGAAAAACTTCTGAGCAAAGATGGTTCATCAGCCAATATTACTAAAAATATTTTATGATATTATTGCTATTTAAGTAATTTATTTTATTATTAGTAATAGGTACCTACCTAATACAGCTGTTGTAGATTGAATTCAATTTTGCCAAAATTATATAGGCTGAAAATAAGTCAAACGTCTAATTGTAATGTAATCTAATCTAAAATGTCTAATTGAACGTCACGTGTTTGAATAAAAAAAATATCTACATTTTAGATAAATAAATAATATCTAACAAAGTTATTAATTACCTTTAGAGTTTAAATGCAATAGGCTGTAAAGTATCTACAAACATACACAAATTTATGAGAAAACACAGTAGAAAGTAAAAATACTATTAATCTAATCGAAACTAGGTGTTTTTATTTAATTTGTATACCATTATTTTATTTTGATAGAGTTTGTTTTCTAAACTACACAATGTTGAAAAATGATATCAAGAGTGTGGGTCTGTTGAGTACAGTTTAATCAACACAATTGGCATTTAAATCACCATCATATAGCCTTATTGTGTGGTTTATACATATATGATATAATATTTAATATATAAGTTAACAAGTATAATGACGTATCACTTTTAAGTATGTGTTCAACCTTCAACATACTATTAACAACGATAAATTGTTAAAAAAATTACATTTGGATTTGGCATATCAAACATGAATTTTTAAAAAGATCCCTGTTTAATCGAGTAAATTTTGTGAAAGTAGTGCACTTTAGTGTAGCTATGTATAATTGTACCTATTACCTATATAACGTATCGGTAGAGTGTACTAGAGTATAATATATTATAATATAGTAGTTGTTTAATTATACACGAAAAGCTTTGACTTAACCCCTCATTTTACTCACTCAAATTAAACATAACCTATACTTTAATAAAAATACTATACGTAATTATTTGTTTATATAATACCTATCTTAATAATGTCTTTATTCAGTTTTAGCGTCAAGTCCAGAATATTTAGGATGTTTTTTGAACGAAGATCTAAATATTTCAAATGGTTTAAATATATCATTAGCTTCTTTGACACCTCAAGAATGTTCAGATGAATGTTATGCAAACAATTACACTTATGCCGCAATTAATAACGAACCGTAAGATAAATTGAACGGTTTTCTTATCTTTCCCGTTTCATATACTATTGTTATTCGTGTGTTTATGCGATAAGATTTTGTCACTGTACAAATAATTACATGTCTAAATTGACGGAGGAGATGGATGACGATTGCAATGGCTCGTGCAACGCTGCAAGAAACGCGTCAAACGAGAGATGTCAAATGCATTTTAAAATGTTCAAAACTTATAATACTAGTTTAATAGGTAACTTTACTTAAGATAAACTAACAGTTATACTTAATTGATATAGGTACACAGACTGCAGATTACTTAATATACACACAAATACACAATTCTACTAAATATTAGTTAGGTATGTAGAAATGAGTAAAGTCATGCATATTGCATGTATATATATCTAATTTTAAGGTGAGGAGAAATATCCTCAAGCGATCTACCTAGGATGCTTCGGAGAAAGAATGGGTGACGATAAGAACCGATTGTTGAAATTTCCCCACGAGAGGTATGATGATAACAGTCCGCAAAAATGTTCCGAAGAATGTTTCAAAATCGGATTTCTGTACTCTGGAACCACAAATGGAGAAAAGCAGGGGTAATATTAGCCTATATTAATATTTATAAACACGCAATTTATTTATTATATTTATAATGGGTATAATTGTATACGTATAATTGAGTTTCTGAGTTGGTACCAATATTTCATTAAATTAATTATTAAATTATTATGCGACTGATCCATTAATTATTGTCCAAACTTATTTCATTAAGGTAATATGAGTGTTTTTACTTTTCCCTTGAGCAGCTTCTGGACGTCTAGCATCAACACCAGTCTAGCACATATTAGAGAAAACGTTCCTCAGGTCAATTTTATATTTTTTTAAAACATTATTTATATGGTTTGAAGTATTTATATAGGTATACTAAATTTGTTTGACGACTGCAATTATTATAGTTATCGGTAAATAATATAGTTGACTCGATCGATAATATATGAACTAAAATTTGGAATATTTATTATGATATGCGTTTTATGGCTTACAATATATATTAATACATATAACAGATGCTTGTCAAATAAACATAATGTTTATAGTTTTGATACACGGAAGAGTTAGGGTTATCTTAAAAAATAGTGATCATATGGCGTCATGAAACACAATAAATAAATTGTTTTGTCAACATTTTTATTCGACGTCTACTTAGTATATACTTAATTTAAATCTACGTGACTGGGTGTGCAAAAAATAATAAATTACACTTATTCGTATATACATATTATATAATATATATGTTACCGCCAATGATGATAATTAGGTATTGTTAAAAATGACTAGTCTAAAATGACTAGCCAATAATATCAATGCCTATGTAAAACAGTCAGTGTTAACATAGGCATTGATATTATTGGCTAGTCATTTTAGAGAATACCTAACTAAGATAGACAATAATAGAACAAATTTAATATTAATACATAATTTCTATGATTGAGCAGTCATTGTCATTATTGACTAAAACTATGTAGCCATTGATAATTTTAGATATAATATATTATATTTACTATTTAAGAAAAAACAATGAAAAAAAAATATAAGAAACATATATTCCTCTTTGTTTATAAAAAAATAAAATATAATCTTCACGTTTATTTTTCAATAAATCAGATAATGCGTTGTAAAATTTTTGACGCATTTCATTTGAATTCATTTTTTTAATAAAACAATTCAACACTTCGAAACGAAAAACTATACGAAACTATAAACTATATTATACGAAAGTAAAACGTAGACTGTAACAATACTTATGTTATAGGTTAGTTGCCGTGAGTATTAATACTATAAAAGATACCTATTAATAATTATTATTCGTTATAAAACAGATACCTAATCTTCACGTGGGTTTTTAAAGTTAAAACGATAAAAGATAACATTGACTACAAGAAGATAGGATATGTTATAATATCTAGTGAATCTATCAAATTATAACATCGTCTGATTTATCAAGTCAATGTTACAAATATATGTTGATTATAGATAATGACCAAGTTTGAAGTTACCAAGGCATTATATTAATTGGCTAGTCAATATCATCATTACCTGAATTTACGACATTGACGGTAACATTGGTGAACTGACCAAAAAAAAAAAAAAAAATGATGCTACTTAAATGTATGACAAAAATTGTTGAAATTATATGATTAGTAAATAGTTTTAAGAATATACCCATGTTATAAAATTTCCAAAAATAATATTTTTAAAAAAGCTATTGCGTTCCAAATTTATTTTATCAAAAAAATATTGATATTTAAAAAAAATCTAAAAAATAAACTACTAGACTTAGATAAATGTTTTTACCATCCAAATCGTTCTTAAAATCAGATTCACAAGTTTGCTATTTTGAATTTATTCAAAAAAATTTAAGTCAAATTTAAAATTTTTTATTTTAAGTATAAAAAAATAAAAATAATTTTTTTCCTCTTACACGTGTAGAGCAAGTGGCTATAAATTATATATAAAAAAAAAAATTAAAAATAATGATCAGAACAAAAGTTATTCCAAAAGTCAGTTCTATCTGTTACACCCTGTATACGTCTGTACTCTGTCGTCTATAGACTCTTACATTGAGTGTTTAAATTATAGTGATGATAGGTATATGCCAAGAATCGAGATGGAATTTATCCCTCGAAATATTCCAAGATTTACCTATGTGTGTGTTAACCATGAATATAATATTATTTTTGTATACGATTTTCACGCCAATTGTATTATTTAAAATACTTGGTGGAATTATTTCGATATTGCGTTACAGAATATAATATATTATAGTGCATATTTGAGGATCCCCAGATGAACTATATTTTTAATGGATAATATGCTAGGTAATGTAATTATTTCACAGGAATATTACTATCCGAATGTTTTGAACAATAATATAAAAACCTGTGTAAAAACTATAAAATTCCTATGAGAATAAATTCTAATCGCAACAGTCCTGAAAAAAAAATGTATATACACGTAGTAATAATACATGAAAACAATATTCAATATTATTAATTACTTAATTTGCACGTGTATGACTAATAATTTGTAAATTAACACCCATGTGGTCACAGCTAGTTGTTGTTATTCCGTTTTGGATTTTTTTTAAATTGTCACATATGTATTTATTTTCTGTTATAATATAATTATACAGGTAATACATATAAGTAACCTATGTATAATTTCATATAATGAGAATATTTTATAATTTATGTAGGCACGTAGGCGCGGCCAGATTTAGAACAGGTGCCGCTCTAGAGCCTTTTAAATTTTCCACCCCTAGCCCAAGAAAAAAAAAATGTAGTATTTATGAGGTACCAATAAATTTATTTCATTATAACCAAATTAGGTCAGTAGTAATTCGAATTTTTAGAATTAAGAATCGAAAAGAAATCATAAAAATATCAAATAAAGAAACCATTTTCTCAATCAAGACATAAATACATAATACAAGCATAATAATAATGACATTTCATTATATCAAATAAATAAATATTAAATTTCATATTAGAATAGAAAATATTACATATATTTTTTACTACGACCGTATAAATTTAAAATTATAAATACTACAAATCAAAATCAAACTTAAATATTAAACGTGCGAAGCGGAGTATTTATCACTTTTTATAGAAGGTGGATAACAAATATCATGGTTTACCGACTCAAAAAAAACGCCCACATTTCCAATAACATTAACCAGTACTTTATGTACCATACATTACTTATGACAATTTTATTTTTACGTACTTACTCATTTATTATATTTTATAATATTATATCACTATCTAGGTTTAGAATTAACGGACAATTGTCTATGTTTTCTTCAATAAATTAACTTCATGTGGGTTTTTAAAATTGTCAAATGGAAAGACAACGAGATTGCTTTATGACTGGTTTCACACTCTACATGATTTTCCAGAATATACTACGGCATTCTTATAAAAATTGACAACAACTTTTTGAGTTGGACAGTTGATTTGACTGACATGTAATCCACTTTCCTTAATATATATTTTTAGTAATAGATAATCAAAACTTTTGAAGTATAGGTCCATACATTAAAACTTATAATGATAAATAATAAATACAAGAATTATTTGGCCATTCTTAGGACTTTATTTTTAATATGTTTATTAGTTATCCATTTTGAAATATAATCATTATTATACCTGTTCATCTAATATATTGTCTTTATAAAATAAATAGGTAACTATATATGCTATACAAAGTCTTAAATACTACTTTAAACTTAAAATCCAAAGCAATAATAGGGCAGATCTATATGCTCAAAATCCACTCTTATAAATATGCCGCTGAACGTGCAGCGTAAACTGAAAATTATTATATTGTTTTTCATTTTTCATTTCAGAGCTGCTTGTTGGTGTGGCAATCAATATCCCTCAGAAAAATTCAAAATAAGTGACACGAAATGTAACTCCATCTGTTCGGGCGACAAGTCCAAAAATTGCGGTGGTCTGTGGAGATTAAGCGTTTATTCCACTGGGATCGTCGGTTAGAACATAATCGTCGCCTAAATCGAAAAGGTCGTAACTATATTTTGTTTCCATTTGGGGATTATGTGTGATTAATATGAAGAAAAAAAAAAGCGTCAAATGATAAAGTCATAACTCCGATTTTATAATTTTATCCTCCATGAAATTGATAATTACAAATCGATGTATGATTTTATAAGACCTAAAAAATGTCGTGTCTCCATATTATTATATTAATAAACGATGAAGATACGACCTTTGTGAATTACTAACTAGGGAATTATTAGCGCAACGAAATGTTCGAAACGTTTTTTCATCTCCTATAAAATTTATCATTTTGAACTTACGACCATTACGATTTAGGCCGACGAATTAAAACCACTTTATATATACTTATACTGCTAGGTTTTTTTTTGTATCGTTGGCTCGCTCTGCGTGTATACAAATAAATACATTATAACGGTTCGTCTATAATTATTATATTGCAAACAGATTATCCACTCAAAAATTTGGTCGGGTGTTACGATTTGGACGGATTTAGTCGGTACGACAAGAAAGTATACATTTTAAAGGAAACCATTGATCCGCACAGGTGTTTTTATATTTGCAACGAGAGAGGATATAAATACGTGGCAGTCAACGAGTATATAACCTTATTTTTCGTTTAATATAATTTATTATATTATACTATTCAAGCCATCGTAGTTTTTGACTTATATTATAAACGTGCATGTATGTATAACCGATATAGGGATCATTGCGAGTGCAGCGACGAAACACCGAGTGCAGATGAACGGAAAAAACAAGAAGAGTGTAGAAAATGTGCTGGAGACGAATCGGAATATTGTGGTGGTCCCGAACGTATTAGTATCTACGAAAACGATTGGTTTGGTTTGTTAAATTTTATATTAAAATTACATATTCAATTTAAATTAACTTGCTTGATCCACGGCCTCATTGGTATATGTTGTAGAGTTTTTATAATACTTGAGTTTGGGGACAGCTTCTAATTTAAACATAAAAAAAGCTATTAATTTTGGTTCTTCCAATATTCTCAAACATGGTTCTATTATTTTGAGTCTGCAATAATAAACTGCTTTTGACGCTTGCTTAATAGAAAGAGTCCAACGTAGGTTTCTTCGTTGCACTATTTTTTGTGTACCCCATGCACCTCACCGATATGCACCCATTTGCTGATCTCCTTGAGTTAAACTCTGTGGCGATATTATTATTATTGTGTGGTAAAATTGTTACTCCTTACCTTTGATCATCAATACACTTTAAAGTTCCGCAAAGACTCACCAGATGGCAGATATACACCTCCTACTGTATATACCAATATTTGCACCAATTTATTGTAGTATTGTACTATTGTATAGTATTTCATTTTTCATTTATGATAAAAATAATAAGTAATTTGTTATAGTAATAATATTATTAATATAAAGTAATAAAAATGTATATAAAGGGTAATACCCATTTGAATACAATAAATGGAGGGTTCCATCGCTGGATAACTTCCTTCACTATGTGCATCAAATGTTTTGTCTTATTATTAGGTATGTTATAAATATATTTATACAGATGGAAAATTTTTTGTATAAGAAAAAAAATACAATAAATAAAGTGATAAGATAAAAAACAATATATATTTAGTTTAAGCTGAATTTAAGTGTGTAATACCTACAAGCCAAAGGTCTAGTTATGGAGGCTTTAGCATTAATAATAATATATAATATATGTAATACACACATCGTTTTTGCAATCGAATAGGTATAGATGTTATCTAAGCAGAAAAGAACAGAACAGGGGTCTATTTTTTTATTTTTTTGTTAATGCAACAACATAGTGGTACTTATTTATTATTGTTAAATATTATTTTCACAGTTCTGATTTGTTATATAGTGAGTAGGTACCTACATAATATTCTGGAAGATTATCTTCATCTGAACATAATAGTAAATGTGAAAAAGGGCAAATGCAAACTCTAAGGGTCCAAACAGACGACCAGATTTTGCCGTCTGTTTTTTTTATATTTAGAGTTAGATAGTGGTAAACAGACAGCTTTCGATAAAATTACATAGGTGTAAACACGAGCCAATTTAACCTACATAAATCAAAAAGTAAATACGGACGGGGCCACAAATTTTTGGCTGGTACCGAATTGGTTCCCGAGCTCCAACCCCACATGCCGAATTGGTTCCCGTTTGGAAAAGGTGTTTTTTTGGGGTGTACCGAATTGGTTCCCGTTTGAAAAAGGTATTTTGTTGGGTTGGGCCGAATTGGTTCCCGTTTAATTACGCACATTTTCCTTCTCAATTTTACAGGCTTAGGACTGTCAACTTAAAAGTAGGCTTGGTTAAAAATGTGCGTCAATGTGTGTTATAAAAAAAATGATATAATATATACAATTTTCAATCGTTGATTCGGAAGTCAATTATCACTAGGTGTAGGTAAAAAATACAAATAATAAAATATAATAAATACAAATGTTTAAAAACGCGTGTGTGTCAATAATCAACAACTTAGTTCCCTTTTCACTAAACATAAACTCCATAATTACGAAAAATTAAAATTAAAAAATATAAATTCAAATACGAAATATAAATTAAAAATTTACACGATGTGTTATTCGAGGCTGTACAGTGCTCACTGCTCACCAACATTATTGTCATTCGTACATACGATATAGACGATGTACCATACACCGATAAAAGTACATATATCTCAATCGTTATCTTAATTGATCGGGAAATCACCGATAATTTGCTAAACTTCCAATATATAAATATATAGCCATCTTATTGTATATTATACTATATATTATAGAGTATAGCCATGTAGGTACATTTATATTTTATACTGTCTAATTTATATTTTGTACCAATTATTAAAAATTAAAAATTACCTGTACACAAACGGGAACCAATTCGGCTCAACCTAATAAAATACCTTTTTTGAACGGGAACCAATTCGGCTCAACTTAATGAAATACCTTTTTCAGACGGGAACCAATTCGGCCAAACGGGAACCAATTCGGTTACTCCCAAATTTTTCCCTAAGGCTTCGTAATTAATTATTTATTTGCTTGGCATGTTCTTGGTCTATGTAGGGACCTCTTAAAGTATTTATCAAAATATTTAACAGTACGTAATTTTTAGGCTCAATTTTTCTTTACAGGGCTATACTATACAAGTACTAAAATCTTCTTTAACCATCCGCATAGGCATATAATCTTGGTAAAGGGACTATTTGTTTGCTAGTCAGCTGCATATTAATTGACGCAAAAATGATGTGTATGAGTATGACAAAGGTTACATCCTGACATATGAAAATTAATTTTATTAAGTAAACTGAGTGCATAAAATTGCTCTGATTTATGAAAAAAATCCGTTACGGAACGTAATTGGTGATTGTATTTTGAATCCATATGTATAGGCATGATTACCGGAAATCTATCAATTACTCATTTTGGATGTTTTGAAAACTCTTGGATGTATCCAGTGATGGATGGATGGAATATATCATTTCCTAGCGAATTGACCTCACAAAAGTGCGCTTCTAGTTGTTTCACCCGAGGGTTTCCATTCGTAGCACTAGTGTCATCGTGAGTCCTTCGAATTGTCTTTATGATAGAGATTTGTTTTCCATTACAATATTGTTGTTATTAATGTTATATAATATGTCGTATACTCGTATAGACTTAATTCATGTCAAATTCGTATAAAATGTATATTTATAATTAAGTTTAATTATAAACCTCTATATAATTATAATTTTAAAAAGGTATATGTTGCGTAAGTATTCATAATTTCGTATTTAAGCAACAGTATAACTTGCTGGTGCATGGTTAGGTACAAAACTAAAGACAATACCGAGTGGGTTGTCCAACCCGTATATACTCTGTGTCTCTGTCCCACGAGAGATCATGTCTGTTCTGCGCATATAGAATAAACTCAATAAACCTCGTCGGCCTGAGCCGTCGTATCCCCTCCATGTGTCTACAGTTCGACCGACGACGGACGACGAAATCGAGCGGCGGCGCTGCCGACGTCTGCCGTCGACGTCCCCGTTTGGTGAGGGATGCGCGGAACCGACGAGTTTTCGATTTCTCGCGGCATGATCTCTCGTGGGACAGAGTATATATTGATGTATGAAAAACTATATATATTATAATTCTCATAAGTCATAATACATTATACTCCCCTCCCTTGATCTATACAAATATATAGCCAACCATCTCACCATACAAAATTTCTGACCACACCTTTGGTTAGGGTATGTTAGGTCGGGCAATTGTAAATTCCACCGATTTTCAGGTAGTCGATTTTAGGGTTGGATTTATAACATGTAAATTCCACCGGTACGTATTTTTGACCTGAAAACACGTTAACTCCACCGATTGTAAAATCCACAGATGACAACTATTTTTAGTATATCTATATACATCATATTTTTTTTATATTTATTATATCTTAACTAACTATAGTGATCATTCTTGATTATTATATGATTTTTTTTTTTTTTATTATTATACCTATTTAAATAATTATATATTTTTATATTTTTATATATTTATTATATCTTAACTAACTATAGTGATCATTCTTGGTCATTATATGATTTTTTTTTAATTTTAGTATCTAAGTACAATAAATATATTATAATAAATCTGTACTCTCATAAATGATGTAATCTTACTTAATCAGATTGGATTTGGAAAAACGTACCGGTAGAATTTACATCTTTTTTTCAGGTAAAAAAAGCATACCTGTGGAATTTACATGGAAATTTACATGGGATTTAGGTCTGGTCCCTTTAAAAATGACTTTTGTTAAAAAAATTAATTTACCATACATATAGCCCATGGCTGTAGCGAATACAGTGTGATCACGATATTAGGTACCACTGAATATCTCAGATGGGTGTCTTTGTATTGAAATGGGGTTTTCGGGAGGTGATAGGGAGCACATAAATACATATTTTTAGACCAGGTTCAAATTTTTAGCTCTCTCGGTATGCGCATGCGCAATACAACTTACTTTTTTTTAAATGGCAACCCCAGTTTTTTTCTGCAGATTCAGGTAGAGTATTTTTTTTTAAACATTTATTGTATAAAAAGTTTTTTTCTATTTTCAAAACTGACCAAGTTAGAGTAAGTAAAAAATTGGATTTATGCATAATATATGTTTAATGCAATTTTCATTTATAACCACTGGAAATAATAAACAGAAAAAAACTGGGGTTGCCATTAAAAAAAAAGTCGTAATGCGCATGCGCGTACCAAGTGAGCTAAAAATTTGAAACTGGTCTGAAAATATGTATTTATAAGTGCTCCCTATCACCTTCCGAAAACCCCATTTCAATACAAAGTCACCCATCTGAGATGTTCAGTGGTACCTAATATCGTGATCTCACTGTATACAATGACGTATTATATAATAGTAATAAATAATAATAATTTTTAAGTACTGGTACTACTACCTATTACCTCTTATACTACTATAGTCTATACTACACATGCTATGCTGAACTTCTATAATATGTGATACGGTAATAATTATTTCATGTGACCCGCTACGCCTGCAATCGGTGTGCTAAACCGCGATCAGGACGAAGTGTCTGTGCAGTTTCGATAGTCCACCGATCGAAGCCAAAGTCAAAGCTGGAGGACCGCATTGCAACGTCACGTGTTCAGGTGGCACAGAAAGCGTGTGCGGTGATCGCACCCACTACAACGTGTTCACCACCGGGCTGAAAACGTCCAGGGTGCCCGGTGACCATTACCTGGGCTGTTACGAAGAGACGGACGTATACAGAGCGTTCAAGAAAAACCAGTCGGTCGAAATCCCGTACGTCAACACTCCGAAAATCTGTTCCAGACACTGCGACAGTCTGGGCTACGAATATTTCCAACTATCCAACAGAGAATTGTGTTTTTGCGGAAACAGCCATCCGGCGGACGACGGTGCGGTACGGGTCGACGACAACAAGTGTTCCGCTCAGTGCTCGGGTGACGCGAACAAGTATTGCGGAGGAGTGTTTAAAATCGCGGCGTTCCGTATAGGTAAAGTATTTTATGTTTAATTATAGAGATCGCTTCATAACAAAAATATAATATAAATAATATATTATATTATACTAGCTTCAACATCACCTGGGTTAAAATAAATCGGTCTTTCTTATTCGTTTTCCATCAGTTTAAATATATAATAGGTACAAGCACTAATCAATGAGAAGTTTGATGATTTTCCACTTCTTAGTTCTGGACATATTTTTATATGCAAACACAAAAACTAGAGACAGCTTCAACTTATCAAATTATCTTTTTATTTACTTCAAATCATCTGAAAAGGGGAGGAAATAAAAATTCCATATCACATAAAATGTTATCAAATGTGCTATGTGCACTATAGACTAGAAATATACTAGTCACTATATAGCCTATATAGGGATAGCGAGATTCAATCCGATTTGTCGACCCGATATCTATATCGATATGCTTAATAATATTAACCATAGTGTATACTCTATAGATATATATTTCTCAATATTTCACATTATAGCAATTTCCAGAGAATTTTATTGAACTTGTATAGGTACACTGAAATAAATATAAGCGATTATCTCAGTCTGTAAAAGTTCATAAGAATTTTCTCCACACGTATTATACCTGCAAGTGATCAGCTGTGGTTCTGGCTGATGTCGATTAGTGAGTAGTGACTATCTGTATATATAAAAAGACTTGTCCTGGGTGATTCATCATCGCCTAGCCGGAACTGCTGGGTCTAGAGACTTGAAATTTTGTACAGAGGTTCCTTAAGCAATGTAAGGGCGCACTAAGAAAGGATTTTTGAAAATTCGACCTACAAGGGGGTAAAAGTGGGGTTGAAAGAATATGATAGTGGCGCCATCTATCAAGCAATATTTAATTTAAATATACAATATTGGTATTAAAATGAGTGAATTAAAAATAAAAATAATTTATATTGATATGATAATAACAATTTAGACATCTCTATGGCAATTAATACATCAGCTCGATGTACTGGCTAATACAGTATAATCTATGGTTAATCGGGCATTTTTGTTTATGTACGGTTTTTTATAAACATTGAAGTGTATTAAAATTAAATATTGCTTGATATTTTTTGCTGACTTCTGATTGTAACAATACATGGGCAACCTAGGATAAACTTATCTAAAAGCAGCCTGTAATAAATATAAAAACTGATAAAATAAAAGTTATAGTAGGTTACACAAAAAAACTGTACACGGGCGAAGCCGGGTTATTCAGCTAGTATAATATATATATATATAGGTACACTATCACAGTATTACAGTTAAATTAAATCAACACTGATAACGATTAACTGCAGGAATGGTTTTATTATTATTTATCAGTTCAATAAAATATAAAAAATTTGAACATTTTTTAAAAAATTCAACTATAATTACCTAGTTAATTTAAAATGTAGGTACTATTTTTATTTTTATAATTATATAGTGTATGGTAATCAGTAATGACACATTTAAATTCGTTTAAAAGATATCTGTTTTTAATTGATAATTTTGTTAATTTATTATAGGAATGGTGGCTGACATAGAATATAATTGTTCTACAGATTGCGAATGCTATTTTCTCCCAAAACACAATGTGTCCAAAATTGACTGTTCAAAAAGTAACCTAATTGACCCTTCTACAATTATTCCTGATTTAAAAACAACTTCGTCATCTATTGATTTAATTTTGAGAGACAATTTGATCGAAAACTTACCTAATTTAACAAGTTTTCATATCACTTTATTGGATATCAGTAATAACAATATAACGACATTGGATGCCAATCTTTTACCTAAAACTTTAAAAGTAAGAAAAATAATAATAATTTAGTATGTATTGTATAATATGTATGTTATGATTTATGCATAATATGGATATTACATTTCTATCGTTGAGGTCAACTGGAACTTCCACCTTAGACAAATATTAATCAAAAATTATAATATCAATGAGTAAAATTATTATTTACTGAACATTAATATTTTAGACGGCTACTATAAAATCAGAATAAGACATCATTTTTCAATAAAAATTTGATTAAATTACAGTTAGTATTCTATGATATTGTTAACCTATATAAGTCCATAGAGTCTATACTCAATAGTCTATAATATATCAAATACATGAACTTATTTCATTTAAATTATACTCTAATAGTATTACGATTTTTAATTTTATAGTATAACATATTAATATTATGTATTATTTTTAAAAAAAGTCATGTAACACTCTCCTAAGTAACATCATGTATTTCTGGTATATAACATTTTTATTTAAAATTATTTCCGCAGGTTTTGTTCGCCCATAATAATAAGTTAACAACCCTGGACGGTAGATTAATACAAAGTCTAGACGTCATAATGTTATCGAAAAACCCGTGGCCATGTGAATGTGATTTGTTGAACACCCTTCTAAAATATAAATCAAAGGTCCAACTTCATACTTATAATATAAAGTTATTGTAGACTGCAGTTACCAAATTATCTCGTTAATTCAACGGTTCGTTAATTTTGCAGATCGGAGATATGAATAAAATCACTTGCACGTCTTCCACAGTCCCTCTTGTCCACATGAACGAATACGAACTTTGTAAAAAATGGAAAATCAATTATTTTTACCTGTTCATCGCCTTGGGTTTCGTTTCATTCGTTTGCCTGCTGTCTGTTTATTTTAAGTTGCACAGGAGTGTTTGGTTGTACATATTACGCAACATCCAATGCGACTCATGTGATCTGATGTCCATGCAGCACACCAACAATGATGATAAAGATTCCGAGGAAACTTTCATGCAACGGATCCAATACGACGAATTGGTGTTGGCCACCGACAACTGGAACCAGAACCACGTGCTGGGCGAGGGCGGTTTCGGGGTGGTGTACAAAGGCAATTGGAGACACACGGACGTAGCGATCAAAAGACTGAAAGCCGAGGTCGGCGTGACATTAAGATAGATACGATTTATGCCTTATATGTTGATATTGTTGTTATATTTATTTCATATTTTAGGGAGTAGCTGAAAAAGTGGTAAACATGCACACTTTGGGAGACGGACTCTTGCAGAACCCGTCGAAAGAGATTATGTATTTAAACGCCGTTAAACACGATAACGTACTGTCCATGTACGGATTTTGCTTCCATTCGACGGGATCTTGTTTGATATATCAGTTTATGGCAAACGGGTCGCTCGAAGATCGATTACAGTGCAAAGTACCTACATACGATTTATCTATATATTTATATATATTAGCCACAGGTGGTAGGTGATACTATGAAGGTTCTATATATTATAATAAGGATAACCAAACAACAACGAAATAATATTATATTTTAGTCTATTCTATATGCGTTTTTGTTATATTTTTTTCTATTGTTTACACTTCAGCCTATAAGTAGGTACTATTTAGCAGTATGTATAATAATCGTTATAATGTCACGAAAATCAATACCCTTTTTTACTACAGGCTCATTCTCCTGCTACAGACAATTTATAAGTTATTATTCGTTATACATGTACCTATGGTGTATCCATAAATTAATACCATAATACATCCTTGAATTCAACGACAAACAATTATAATTTATTATTGTTATAATTTATAATATATTATCAAACATCAGGTAATGATTAAAAGGATTATTTTTAAACAAAAATAATCCACTTGGGATATATTTTATCACGTATAGGATTATCCTGAGCCACCTAAAACTTAGCCGTAGCCCCCCCCCCCATAGTATTTTAATATGCTATATTGCAATGGTCTGCTTGCCTTTAATATATTTGGGCCCACCAATCCAAAAGTTGAAATTGCGCCCATGGATTTGAAAATCGTCTTTAAAGAAAATAATATAATATGAATATATGTTGGTTTCTTCACATCACCAAAATTATCTAAAGTCCTGGTTGACGATTTTTTTTTTGTAAAGTGAACAGATCAAGAAAACCAGTTAATCATTCGTACCCATTTTGTACTGCAGAAAACTTATACTTAATGCTGTCATTATAATCGAGTTTTATTTCAAATCAGCCAATTTGATCCTTTACCCGGTTTTCCCGAAAGCTGAATTAAAGCCCCCGATATACTTAGTTGACATGTAATAGAACGACTTATATAAAGTTTTTCATTTAATTTTAGTATAAAATATTTATTTTGAACATTCAAATTTAAAATTTAAGTGGTAGGTTACGTGAGATCACATCACATTTTTATCAAATTTGTCTCATTGAATAATACCATTTTGAATTAATACTCTCTATTTGTACATATAGAACGGAACGAATCCATTATCCTGGAAGTTGCGTGGTAACATAGCTACAGGAATAGCAAGAGGCTTACAGTTTTTGCACAATGTTGAGACGCCTTTGATCCATGGTGATATAAAAAGGTACATATTATAGGTGAACGCAATTCCATTAACGTCGTATGAATCACATAATCATTTAACGCATATTAATTTATTATAGTGCCAATATACTTTTGGACTCTAACCTTGAGCCTAGGATAGGAGATTTCGGGCTTGCTCGGACCGGACCACTGCAGGAACAATTAATTAACAAAAGCGTTGGATTTGATGTCAGCCACGTGTGTGGCACGAAGCCTTATTTACCTGAAGATTTTTGTAGGAGCAGAAAACTATCGACAAAAGTGGACACTTACAGTTTTGGTGTGGTATGCACACAATTCGTCTTTTTTGTTACACTTAAATTATTTTTTATAATATTATACACCGGGGATCGATTTAATGTAAGACACACAATATTTTAAAAACTATTATCATTTTTGAAAATATTTTTTTTTCATAACTTTATGTTGTTAAATGTTTTAATGACATTATACATTATTAATTTCCCGTTTCAAAGGATAATATTTTTTGGAGTGCTTTGATACATAAAAATCGAATTTTGGATGAGTACTTTATGAGTAATAACTTATATTTATAAGTAGGTAGGTATGTATTCAATGTTTTGATGAGCGGACTGGAATGGTCCAGGGGTACCCCGCAAAATGTTGGTACCCTTCTCTATTTATCTAAACTTTAAATACTTACTTATAAGTTATACCTAACGGCTAACTTATAACTCACAAATTACTTGTCTGAAATAAAAAATGTTCCAAATTATATTCTGCTCAAGACTATGAAAATAAAAATGCATGCAAAAAAAAAGTAAAAAAAGGATAGGTAACAATAAGAAAATGGTAAAAAATTAGTATACATTTTTTTAAATTTAATTTTTAACGACTAAAAATGATGTAAGAAAATTATTTTCAAAAACACATTAATACTTTTTGAAATAATGAGTGTCTTACATAAAACGAATTCATTTGATTAATCAACCTGTATATTTCTCAAAAGTATATGTTACCTATTATATATTATATTATACCTATGCAATCTATCAACGTAAAACGGGAATAAAATAAATGCCATGTGTCCATGAATTATTATACTATTATTACCATTATACATTGTGTTATTATTCGCTCTTATAAACGTCTGGAAGATATTGTAATAGGTATATTGTTATTGTTCACAGGTGATGTTCGAAATAGCGACCGGTCTAAGAGCGTTCAACAGGTACAAAAATTACAAATATTTGGTGAGTATGTTGTGATGAGACATTTAGCATCTTAATTATTTAATAATAATAATCGAAGTGCAGTGTTGACTTATTAAAACTGTTTTATGCAGAAAGATTTGGTGAATAAGCATGACAAATCTTCAATTGCGAATATTGCCGACAAAATGGCCGGACATGATTCATTTCATATTTTTGAAATACTTATAACTTTAGGTAAAGCGTGCGTGGCAGATATAGCAGAGAAACGTCCAGAAATGGTCGTTGCTTACATGAATCTAAAAAACGTTTTGTCGTCGGATACCAACGTAAATAATGGTATGTTATGGTATGGTATGGTATATGTGATGCATGATAATAATCTATTATTTAATATGTTTTTCGATTGAATATTTATAGATGAATATTGTTTAGGTCCGTGTTAACCCCCTTCCCACCCCAAAATTTTTAAAAGTAGAACAAGAGTTTTATATTTTGAACTTAAAAATTATAAAGATCCAGTATCCATATCAAACAAAATTTGGAGCCCTTCCCCACCAAAATATTTTTTCAGTTACAGCCTTGATATTATAGCTATTATTTTATTACCTTTATTTGTCAGTGCATCGGTGGACGATAGATAGTGACGCATGAGCAACTTACGTCGGAAAGCCCACAAAAATTGACTGATTATCTGCCAATGAGTTATGAGTTATGACACTACTGAAACCCCCCTATACGTTTAGTTTGAGTTTGTTGTGTTGAGAAGTAAAATAAACAAAAAAAAAAAAGATTAAAAATCATAAAAAATATACTGTAGCCTATTGGACGCAGTGACTATAATTTGTCTTTTGCTACTTTACACCACTATAAGTTGAGGTCTTAGTCCCTCCATTATTTATAAAAAGAATTATAAAACCTAAAATTAACATTGCCCTCGCCAGTTTGAACATATTGTATACAATTCCCATGCATTGTATTAAAATTAAATTAATTTTATTAATATTTAAGTTAGTTGAAACTTTAAATTACTGTTCTTCTTCTTCTACAGTGTTCTATCAGGGAAATAAATATCTATAATTTTTTTGACCAAATATGTCAGATGTTCTAATATAATGATCGATTTTACCCACTTGGACCATCACATAATATTATAATAAATGGTTTTTACAATACATTTTCAGTTGATACGAGCGGCGAGAAATTTAACAACATGGCAAATGCACACTTTAAGGTACGTACCTATATTCTATAGTTATTAATCAATAATAATTTTTTTTTACCATTTAAACGTAATATATTTTTAATGCAATCATTTATATATTTAGAACGCATTTTTAACAAATGCTTTGATGAAGGTTGCAGGAATAATGTTTGGTTAATGGTTAGGTATTTAAAAATTTGTACTGAACTTAAAAAATTGATTGAAACATAATATTACTATTTACTATTATTTGTTCCACGGCGTAACGTATAGGCAATTTATTATATTATTTCGTGATGATCATGATAAGTAAATACCTAGTTACCTACGTACTTAGTGAATTACACGCAGAAACTCGAAGGGTTTAATTTAAACAGACTTCAATTCATGGTTTTACAATTCGATAAAATATTATCAAATTATCATGACCGATAATTGTTGAGAGACTTCTAACCTAACCTATAAGAATCTTCTGACCGCAAATTATTATGAATGGTAATTAATAATTGTATTATAGGTAGGTACTCGTAATATTACAGTAACCCAGACATCGATACCCAATATACATGTTAAATCTTGATCATATTATAATATAGGTAATACTTCAATGTTATGCTTACCCCGTTGACTTTATAAAATTATATGTGTATAAAACACTATTATAAGATTAAAACAACTATACTCTGTTCAGATTAAGAGTGCCCAAATTCGCGTATGAATACTGAGCCGCGTAGCAAGATGCATGCGCGAACGCCGAACAGTACTAGTTTTCGTCCGAGCGACTGGGCACTATTAACCTGAACAGATTATACTATTGCGTGTAAAGTATAAACTATAAATTATAATGTATACCTATATCTCAGAATACTTCCCTACTTATTATAGTAATTCTTGATTTTAAGGAAACCAAAAATCCAGATATCATAAAATTGAACGAAATAAAGGCATCTCTGTTAGCACCACTCAATGAGATTCCGTCAATATCGAACTTGTACTCTAGTCCTGTGCACGAAGCCGATCCTCGGAAAATCATTACTACAGAAGTAAAATCCGTCAGCAATGAGATTTCGGTATGCCTCAACGGGTTTAAGTACCGTAATATAAAATAACCATATTACGAAATCATTATTTAATGTGATATATGTATGTTTTCGATAGGATGAAGGTTTTTTTACGACAGACTTTTAAGTAAACGAGCCAAATAACATTTCACGCGACATTATGAAAATAATTAGTTAGATACCTACTGCTAACCTACATGCAGACCAATATTGTAATACCTAATCATATTATTTTATTGCGCCTTATAAACTATATCAAGTTGACAAGTCCACTATTAATCTATTTATATTTGAACATATATTATGTAATGCACCATGTTGCCATGTAGGTACAAAACATATTGGATTGTGTTTAGCAAATTACACATTTAATTTAAAATACTCGTTTTTGTTAATACATATTGTATCAATGTATACTATAATGCGATCTAGCAAATTGTTATTTTCATTTTCTTTTAAACTTGATTATAATGTCATAATATTTATCATTATTAATGAATAGTTCTTTTCATTATTTCCACAGAAGCTGCTTTTTAATAGATTCAATAACATATTGTGTCTCTCATTTAAGAAATTCATTGATCATAATATAGGAATATTATACTTAATAAGTATGAAAATATATAATTATAATATACTATGAACAATTAAGTGTAATAAATTTGTACCATTAAAAACTATATACATCAGAGGTACCTATTCAAAGTATTTTCATTGCACGGCTCCTTCATATCTTCACAACATTTTGTTGGCTTTTAAATTAGGATACATAAAGAAAAATAATATGTTTTAATGTTTAATTATTAATAATAATCTATAATATAAAAATGAATCGCAAAATGTGTTGGTAAGCGCATAACTCGACAACGCCTGGACCAATTTGCCTTAAATTTTATTTAAGATGTTCGTAATTGCCAGGAGAAGGTTTTTATGAAAGAAAATTTTAGGAAAATCTACCGGAAAAGTAGGAAATCTGGATGTAAAAAAACAACAGTGGCGCAACAGTGTATTATATTATATTGGTTGCTATTGGTTAATCGGGCATGTTTGTTGATTTGTATTATTGTTTTTTGTCAATATATCCTATTAATATTATAAATGCGAAAGTTTGTGACTTTGTTACTCTTTCACGTAAAAACTACTGGACCGATCTTGATGAAATTTTTACACTGTGTGTATTTTGGTCCAACTTAAAACATAGGCTAATTTAAAAAGGGAGAGGACCAACCCCGGGAGGTGCTCAATTGGGAATTTTGAGATTTCAGATGGAAATTTTTGTTTATAAATGGTTGCCATGTGGTTTTAAGCCATTAAAGTAATAATAATAATAGAAAAAAAATATATTTGCTTTACTTTTTAAATATAAATCATGTTTAATGGGATTAAATAAATCGATTATTTTAATCAACCGTAGGTAGAATTAATTAAAAACGACAAACTTGGTATAACTTTGATACTTTAGAATTGAATTACTTTAGAGTACACTTACGTACATACAGAACGGGGTCCGCGATCGATAATTTACTGGCTGCGATTCAGAATTTTTATTCCGGGCAACGGAAAAGTTAAGATAAATTTTGAACACCGTACACCGAATATTAAATAACGAATTGAACAAAGTTTGAGTCATATAGAGTTGATACATTTAACGGGCAACGAAGTGTACGGGATCAGCTAGTATATATATATATATATTATAAATACACAAGTTAAATTAAGACAACAAATGTAATAATAATATTAAAAATGTCATGTTAAGAATAAAATAAAATAATATAGGTATTAATCGTAATCACTCATCATCATTATACTTTTGTGCTCCACTTGGAGGCATGACACAGTTTGAATACCTCTGATATACATAAATAATAAACCATACATATTATACCTAAGCCTAATATTACGTCCTAACCTATTACGTCTCGTCAAAATAAATTTTTATAAATTAATGATCGACCTAATACAAATTACAAACACAATATTAACTATTTATTTTTTTGTGCTTTTTATAGAAATTTATTATAAAATAGGTTATTTTCATAGAAGAATATCACAAAATAGTTTTTATTCATCACATTGCTATAACATTAATATAACTATCAAGAAATGCAATAGATATAAAAATGTATGCTATACAACTTTAGGGTAAAACTACTTTTTAATTTAAAAAGTAAATTATAGTGATTTAACTGAACAGTCATATTTTATTCAACTTGTTAACAGCATTTATTTAAATGTATTGTTTTAACTTATACTGACATTATTAAAAATTATATCATCAAACTTAGCATGTAGGAAATTCAATTCAAAGAAAAAAAGGTGGGTAAGTGGATGTCGCTCTGCTGTACAGTAGGTTACAAGTGGGTCACTGTATAATGGATGCTATTAAATTTGAATTCAATGATACAATATCATTGTTTAAGAAAAACGATTCTCAGCGAAGACGGTATGTCAGTCTAGGTTTAAGACAAATTATATACATATCTATGGTATTAAAAAAAATTGACCTATAATAAATTCCAAATTAATCATATCACATTATCACAATATCCATTAGGTACTTATAACACGTTATACATCAACATCAATAACAAACCCTGATACTATCATAGATATATAATAGTACACTTTAGAAGTTTCAAGTAGGTACCCACGATAATATTTTATAATCACAACAAAATAACTAGGTTTTTTAATATGTAATTTCGTTAAAATTTTAACATAAAATGACTATAAAAATAAACTGTGATTGTATATTTTTTAGATTTTTCTTTAAAAGAATTAACTACTTATGTGGAATCTTGTTTTTAATTTTCAATCCTAAGCTATAAAAACTGAACATTTTATAATTTATTAATTACGATGATTAATAATTTTCGAGATTTTGAAAAATTCTGTCAAAATTCGATGTTAAAATGCTTATAAAAAAAAATTGTGCCTATGTATTTTTAATATTTTTCAACTGATATTGTAACAATATATCAGGAGCCTTGTATTATTTTTACACTTTTTGGCACAACAGATAAAACTTTATTGATATTCATAGAAAAAAAAAAACTAAAAAAAAAATTGAAAGATGTAAATGTCCGTAAACAGCTCAAAAGAGTCAAAATATTTTCGAAATCGTATGGTGTATAGGAAATGCTAATATAAACATTCATTGAAATTTTCATGTATCTATAGTTATTCGTTTATGAATAACAACAAAATAAGGAAATCGCTACATGAGAATTCGAGTGAACATCCAATGTTGTAAAAATTTGAATTTCAAACGCTCATAAAAATTTAATTTGACTGTCCGATAGAGATTTTTTTATTGATAAAGGTAGACAAACTTATGAGTAACCTTGTATTACATTTTCAAATCTTTGTTTTAAAAAAAAAAAATTTTACGAATTCTTTACTCAAAATAATTTGCTAATTTTCGTGATTTTTCCATATTTTGTCAATTATTGAACTTTGAATGCTTATAAAAAACAATTGTGACTAAGGATTTTTAATATTTTTTATCTGCCTTTGAAACAATATACTAGGAGCCTTTTACTGAATTTTCAAGTTTTTTTAACCAACAAATAAAATGTTATTGATATTTCTAAAAAAAAAAACTAAAAAAAAATGAAAAATGAAAATGTCCCTAAACAGTTCAAAATAAATCAAAATATTTTGAAAATGTTATCGTGTATAGAAAATACAAATATAAACAACCAGTGAAAATTTCATGTATCTACGGTCATTTGTTTTAAAGTTACACCAAAAACCAAATTCAATTTTCTGAAAAATCGATTTTGCGTAAAAATTCCCGATTTTCCTTAATTTTTCTTTTGTTTTTCTTGGCGCTTTTGAAAAGTACTGGGTATTTAAAATTTTGACCTCCCCAATGCACCAACGATTTTCACTTTCCAATCGAACAAGATACTGAAGTTGAAAATCGAAGAATTATTTCGACTACTTATCATGTACACAGACACAAAAAAAATAAAAAAACACACATCATTGTAAAATCAATACATTCATCGTTTCACTCAGAATCTAAAAGATAATAATATTATAAAATTAGTTTCAATAATGTTAAAAAACATTTTCAAAAATACTATATTATGGTATATTTGCATTAAAAAAAAAAAAATACAATACATACAACAGAAATATCAACCAAATACAAAGTAGTCATCTTTTTTGTAACCTTGCTGGATAACTAACCTATTAAAGAAAAAAAATAATTATATTTATAATTATAAATGTTTGGTTTATTCTTACTTTTCACATAGTTTGTTGAAGCCTGATGGGCCACAAATACACACTGCATATTCACTCTTTAAATCATTATGTAATGAAGGAAAATATTTAATGATTACGTTTTCATCAATATGTCCTTTTGTGTCACCCTTGGAGTTTTCCTCTTCTGACAAAATGTAATGTACAGTCAGTCTATACAAATAGTAACAACTTAATAATGACTATCAAATTATACAGTGCATATAACAATCTTACCTTGATAAGTAAGCAGCACTTTTTTGATCTAAGTACTTTTTCCAAATGATACATGTTTCTTTTTTGTTGAAAAACAATAATGTGATATTATAACTATGTATGGGATTAAAATAAAATAATATATAACTCAAATTTTGATTACTATTAGTATGTTATTGAATTACTTTTTAATGGAAGAATGTAAAGCGTTCCAAATGATTGGCAACATTGGTGTAATTCCAGTACCAGCAGCCAATAAAATTAGGTTTGTTTTTGATGTCCAACACTCAAAACTACCTTGTGGACGGCTGACTTCAATTGAATCTCCTTGGCTTAAAGAACACAAATGTCTACTTAGTTTTCCATTTGGATAACTTTTAACTAGTAAACATAAAGTGTCTTCAGAGATTTTCCCATACTCTGTTGTTTCAACTAAAGGCCACACTGGAGTATATGGCCGTGACACAACATGACCTAGAACAACAATTTTTAATACTTAGAAAATATGTTTCAAGACATTTTCTCAATGAATATTTTTTGGATTCATACCATTCACATTAGCTTTAATATAAATATGTCGACCTGGATAGATATGATTGTACAAGTTCTGTTCATACTTAAATAATAAAAATTTAGTGTTATGAGTAACATTGAACGAATCAAGTAGCTCGCATTTCCAATAATCAATTTGAATATTTCTAGTTGTTGATATGGTTCCAAATGTTGGCCAAAGTCCGAGTACTTTTTTTATCAGTTTAACTTGAACTTTTCCAATGTCTGCTACTATTTTTACAACACAAGGCCAATTTACATTTTTATGCAAAGTGATACATCTTGCTTTTCCATTCAAAACAAAACGAAATTCATTAGGTTGTTTTAAAGTAATAGACACCTGAAATCAGAAAAAATATTGAAAACTATCAGAACTAATTATAATCAAATATTGATATAGCTTTGATAAATTCTATACTATAAGCTTTAAATTAATAATATATCATCAAAACTAGATGTAGAGAAGTAAAAATTGAACTTTTGAAATTAAAAAATGAATAATACTTAATTCAAAAATATATCATTAAACAAATAATTGATGGATGTCATAACTTTAAATAACAATTTGTCTAACTGTGTATGAACATTTTAAATACCTCAGGATATGGTGTTTTAGTATAAAACACAAAACATAAGAAGCCAAGTTGTTGAAACCAGTCCATGTTCAAATCATTTTCGGAGACATCTGTAGCCGCTTTCAAAATATCAGGCAATTTAAACAATTCTTCATTTACTAATCGGCCAACCACGCACTTCTGAAGTATTGATTCATAATTCACCCAAGCATGTATCTGTTGTTTACAATCTTTCGTAAACAATTTGTTAACAGTTAACAACAATTACATTGTCTGTTAGTATAGGTCTTTAGTTACCTCTGAAAACAATTTGGTAGCATCTGTGCCAATTCCTCTGACTAATTCATCAACACCACCAGGATGGAAGTCCATGTACTGGGTGACATTGTAAACTGTTCCACGAATAGCCAACCAAGCATCTGTTCGTTTATTGTGTTTGGCTAATTCTGATTTTGAAATAGATAACATTTTACCACCAACTCCAGTTAAGTCACTCCCAGAGTTCCCTAAACGAATCCAATCCATCAGAGAATGACCAGGTGCAAGTGCCACCTTATTTCTAGTCGTTCCTGGTATTTCAACATAAAACAACAATATTAAATAAATAACAGATATTAAATAAATAACAGATATTAAATTATAATAATGCATCTTCGTAGACATAACTGTGTTTAATACTTATGTAATTTTTAAGGAATTATAACTTAAATAGTAATGTGTCAGTATTGATAAAAAACAATCAGTCATCACAAAAAAAAATATAATAATAAGTAATAAGTCTGGTTTAAATTAATAACATTAACGCACATTATATAAATAAAACAAATTTTACATTTCCCAGGGAATATTAACAGCCCTTGGACATTTGGGGGATTCACCTCTATATAAGTAAACAGTCTTAATAACATTTGAAAAGCTTAAAAGTTCAAAACACTATCAAAGAAAATGACAACTATCAATGTTCAGTTTTAATTTAAAATTCTAATTGCATATCCAAAATATTACTAGTTTTATTATTTGTAAAGACAAAATACTAATCTCTCAGAATAATATCACTAATGTAGGTACTCATAACTCATCATGTTATTGTTTCACTGATATTATTCATAAAAAATCATGAAACAATTAGTACAAGAATATACAGAACATCTTTCCTTCACCACTTTAGTATGTTTCAACCAAATAAGTTCCCAAGGGCCAAGACACTAACGCAAAAATGAACGAATCAAGTATATTAAAGGTACATGTTATTTATATTAATAATTTACTGACCGGTAGCCATAGTTGAATCCTGTGAGGCTGTGACCGTCAAGTGTCAACACTTAATCGATTCGAACTTACATGCATGCATATTTGTAATTGAAAAACAAACGTTCACACGAGTATGTCTGCGAAATTAACGATCTGTCAAAAATTACTGCAATCCCTAGTGTGAACTGTGAAGGCATAATTAATTATAGTTAATGGCAAAAGAGAAAAAATTTAGTCGATAATATTATCAAAGCCTGTGATTTTGTTATCAGTCAGCACAAACATGTTATCATCACAAATTATATTTTTATATTTTAATCTGTGTTATCAGTTTATCACTTTATATTGGACAAAAGTACAAAATGAAGACGGAGAACATCTGACATAACTTATAAGAATTTAGATCACTCAAGAATTCTAGAAGTTCTAGTCTTCATGAAGAAGACAGATCAATAGAGAAACTACAAAAACAAATTTATTTCTAATAAAAAAAAAAACAACAAAAAACAAAAAATAAGATTGAAAGACAAAATAAAAATACACACGGTATTTTACTATCGTGACTCTGTAATTGTGACATTATTACATCATACACAATACAAAATAATATGTATAATTGTTGTATTTACATAATTGTATAGAGTTAAGGACTTTAGGTATAGGAAACTAGGAACTAGGAACTTACAATTATTTTACAAGTTTAAATTTAATTTATCATGTTGAATAGTTCATTCCATAGTGCATGAGCAATGAGCATGGCTCAAGTATATTTAAGCCATGGTGGGTGGCATTGACTCATTCAGCATTTCTGCGTTCTGCAGACACGCCAGACAGTGGCACAGTGTATGATTGCAGACCTGCTTTCTATCTAGTCCATAGATAAAGTCTTCCATACCTGTTTACATTTTACTTACAAGACCGTGAATTCGAGCATCATAGACATATTAAAGTATATAACTATATAATAATATAATATATTGTATATAATAATAGTCTTTAATACGTCTATATAGGAACTCAAGTTTTTGGTAATTCATAGCTCATGCTCGCCATAATATCTTAAGTTGTGACTGAAGTTTTGATCACGGCTCTTACAGATTCCAACATCATAATAGGTATGTTTCTCATTGGAAAGTATTACACATTAAAATTAATAAAAATGTACCTATCTACCTATTTAATATTTATTATCGTGACTCGTGGGTGCCGTTATTATGATTTATTTGAAAAGCGTACCAATTTTACACTGTTCGCGCCTTCGCGGGCTCAGTAGCGGATTTAAGGGGGGGGACTACGGGTGCATTAGCCCCCCTCCCCTTGGGGTTTATTTATTTATTTTTCTAAGGGAGTATTATGATATACCTGTCAATAATTATTATAAAATATCGTCATTGAAGAATATGGTTATTTATTATTTATGGACATTTGAATTATCTGACCCACAGAACTCGGGCAGTCCATAGATATTATAAGAATAATTCTTATATTATCTATGGGGCAGTCGGGTTTACCGAGCTGTCTCTATAAAATAATACAACTATATAGATCGCCGCTGCCCGCTGCGATCCGCGTACCCGTCCGCCGTGGCAGACCGCGTTCTGTGTGCCCGAGCTATTTTTGGATGGTTTTTTCGTTCGACGCGGACCTTGGACGGGCCACTGGCGAGTGGTGGTCCGCGGTTGATATAGCAATATTGTTATGTCTACACTATAACAATTAACAACATAATTATTATTTTAAATAGTTATATGCATATAAATTTTCATCTGAAACTATTTATAAAAGTAATTCCCTATAATAATATTATAATAGTGAAAGAAATACATAACAAAAAAACAATGATTTAGGTACACATAAATTATGAGTAAAAACATATTATGTTAATTAAATTATTAATATTTTATATAGATTTAAAATACAGCCAAGTAAATTCTTGAACCTCAATTAGCTCCCCCCCTGAGGGAAACCCGCCCATGAGCTGTCTATTTCAAAAACATTCACATTTTGCGTCACCATACACATATTGTATTTATCAATTATCACTCATATAGTCATATCACGCAGGCATTTTGTTTTGGCAAACGGAACACGGAAATATAATATTTTATTTTGTATATATACGTATACTTTTCGAGGCGGGAGTCTTTAGGTCGGGGAGTCATTGCAACAAATTGAAGCTACACCGTCTGGATCCCCCCACAATATGTAGATACTATAAAATATTACAAAAATAATAAATCGTATAATAAAAAACAACCAGTAACCACGATAACCACTGGGCGCTACAATAGAACACATACTCCACTGCCCCAAGTACGAAGAAGAACGATTGAACTAATTTTTCTTTCATGTTTGAGGTATAAAATTATAATATCATAGTTTATTATGCGCCGCAATTATTCCGTACAGATCTGGCACATAGATTTTTGTTCGGATTAAGCGAAATTGAGCGAATTTAAGTGAAAACCGGATTAATATATAAGTGTGATTTTAGCGATAGTATTGTAAATATTTGGTCCCAATAATTTTGACCACACATATTATTGAAAAGAACTATAGTTTTGACATTGAATAAATTATTAAAAAGCTGCGAGACGGAACAGCCTGTTTGCCTGTTGCAAAAAGGATAGTACTAAAAACAGTTTTTACTTAGAATAACATTTAATATTATTACGATTGATTTTAGGTCATTTGAACTAATGTATAACTAATGTATGTGGAAGACGAACGATTTCCCTAATGATTGGCGCATAATGCATATCATATATTATAATATAGTCACGTCTTCCACGTCTTTTCACTTCTGCGCACAGGACACAGGTCAGTGGGTGAGTTGAACTCCTACCCCCCCCCCCACAATATACGCCACTGAACAAACTATAAAATCATATTCTCAACTTTTATCTAAAACTATAATATCATACTATTAACTATTATGAATTATTATACTTAATAGTTATTATGACAATATGACACAATCATATTATTATTGACACTTAGCGTCGAGTGTCGACGCTATATTCAATATTCATATTATTTTGTATTTATGTTATAAACGTCAAAACGTGATACGAAAATTTATTACATTTTCCACTATCGAGTATCAATAAAGGTTGAACCACCTATTGTGTGGTTATGCCTATAATTATATTATTGTACAACTGTCAAAACTCATATAGGTACCGTACTACCGTCAGAAAGTGATTATTTCCTAGTACAAAAGATAGGTACCTGTTACAAGTTTTGTTCAGATTACGATATTACAACTCAAGTTAATAATTATGTAGAAAATATTTAAATATGGTAACGGCAGTCGGCACATGCACGTGTAGTATGTTTATCGTTCTCGTCGGTTAGAATAAAGGGCGCGTTAATTTTTCTTAAGACCTTTATTATTGATATAATATTATAGGTACCAGCTATATTACCTAATATTTTAACGAGGATAGTTTCTGATATTACGATTTGTATATATTATTCTGTGACTCGATTTATACTTTTAGTCTTTAGATGATCCTTTTATATAATATAATGTCATAATAATATGTTACGGGCAAAGTAGGAAATTGAGCATAGTGCACACTGCACAGTAGGTTAAGTATTGAATACCTTCCTATATTAAAAATCATATAAATCTTACTGAGTACTTAAAAAATCATAAAAAAAACTCGAATTAATACACTTCAAATATTAGTTGCCTATTAATAGTTTTTATTTTTTAAATCTATTATCAAATATGGTACCTCATAGTTCCTACTGAAGAATTAACATTTTTACCTAAAAGTGGTTTAAAATGAATAAGATGATTGATGAATATTATTGATTATTATTAAATTATAGTTATTTTAATAGTTTTATTTAAATTAGTTATTAATAAAAAGTAATATTAGGCACATAGGATAGCATTATATTACTTATTATCACATATACACAACTATTATGGCACTTAGAGTTACAATTTGTAACTTACAAAGTCGACCAGAATTTAATAGCTAAATTTAAATTTATTTACTATAAAATTAATTCTCCGTTTTCACTAAGCATTTGTTCGACCGAATTAATTTTTTATTTAACTATAATAATATGTAGGCACGAATTGTGACAAATTGCAATAAAAATTGAAACAAACCGCAAGTACTGTAAGTAATACTAATGATATTATTGTAATTTGTGACCATTTAATGCGTTATCGGATTTACGATTAGATAATTGCAACTTGCAAGCCATTTTATCCGGCACTGTGTCGCTAAAATTTAAAAATATTTAAGTCGCGCACTTTTTTAACTTTTATATTTTGAGAACCAATTGTTGAAAATCATATTGGGAGCCAATCAATGTTCCCCCTTTCTGGGGAGCAAATTCAATGTTCGATGAGGTACTTTACCTAATATTGACTCCCGACCGGATAACATTGAGGTAGGTCGTAGGCAGGGCCTTGCACTCGAATTAACCCGACCCCCAACACCATTAAACACCCGAAACCCATATAACCCGAATGATTCAGTTTTCAAAACACCAGTATTAAGGGCGTTGGATGCGGTGATTTTCTGTCTTTGTCTAACACACGTTGAACATAGGAATAACAACGTAAAAACGCGACTGAAGACAATTGTCAATTAAGGTACTTCTAGTTGTTCAATTTAAAAAATGAAAATATGTTTTAATTGGTATAAAAGTTTATTTTACATCGGTGTAAGTACTTTTTCAATTGTAGCAATATTTTTATGAAAATAAATATTTGTATAAAAAAAAAAATTTGTAGAGTTCGTTTCTGTAGTTGGTTATTGCTTATTAATATTAATAAATTAACAAGTACAATCACAGGTAAATTCAATAATTATTTCCTTGTAAATAAAATCCAATAATATCTTATTATACCCAATTTGTAGTAATAACTTATAGGTATAATATAATTTATTACTTAACTAGTACATAAAATAAATCCAAATATAGCCAATATCAATATAAAATATAGACATGGTCTCAACAAAGCGTATTAACAGTCGTGGCCAAAATACCAAACACTAATAA